ATATTTATTTTTTTAATTACTTTTGTTTCAGCAACATTAAATTTAAATTTACACTACCCTGTGTTGTGGTGACTAATGCAGGCATTAACTTGTATATGGTACACTTATAAATATTTGCCCTGCCATTGCATAAATACTTGCCATTAAATGTTTGTATTTTGTGTTCATATCAGCTCTATAGTAGCATATCAACCAGAAGGAGACAACAGCCACACCTTTGAGGTTATGGCGATGTTGAAGTCTTTTGGGATCTTCCTGGGAGTTTTCAGCGGCTCATTTGCACTAGGAGTCGCCACTGGAATCGTCACCGCTCTCATATCTTTTTTCGTTTGTTTGGTTGTAGCATTTATTTAGATAAGATACATGTTGTTGTAGCAGTGCTTAAACAGCAAACAGACTCTTAATGAGCATACGCACATGTGCCATAAATATCAAGAAACTCCTAATAGTGTATTTCATTCCAACCAAGTACATAAAAAGTGCAATCAAATTCAGTTCCAAACTACAAAAAGGGACATGAAGGTTCTTTCAATTTATTTTGGCATTTTAAACTCAACCTGTAAAGTTTTTGTTCAGAAAAACTTTACAGGTTTGTCCTTTGGAACAAAGCATCAATATTTTATCACTTCATTCTGTTTGTTCCCTTGCTAAAGTTAGCGTATGAATTTTGTGTCACAGCCAAAGACTTGTTTTATAAGGTCACAGTCACCATTAACCAAAGAAATTTATTCTCGTGTCCATTTTATTAAGGACATAAAGGGGAAGATTTAAGTACACCAAAGCCTTAGTGTTAGCTGGCCAGCATCTATGTCATTTTTTTTACATTCTGAGCGGGGCTACGTGAATGTTTTTGTGATAGTCTACGTCAGGGTAGGGGAACTCCAGACCTCAAGGGCCAGTGTCCTGCAGGTTTTAGATATCACCCTGGGTCAACACACCTGAATCAAATGACTAGTTCATTACCAGGCCTCTGGGAGGAGGAATTTAGCCATTTAAATCAGCTGTGTTGGCTCAAGGACACAGCCTGCAGGACACCGGCCCTCGAGGCCTGGAGTTCTCCACCCCGGTCTACATGTTTTCAATTCTAAAATGGTTAGCTTCTTAACACTGAAACATTATCATCAGTATCTCAGTTATACCATGCACTAAATTAGTTTGTGTGAAATACTATATGAAAATGTAGAATAAATGCAAAAAAAGCTGATTAAAATGATTGTGTAACGTTATTCTGACATTAACCTCATTAGAAGCCAACAGTTTCAGACTTCAAATGGAAAGCAGAACTTTATTGGTTCTCTTATTTGGTTTTTTTAATGTCTTAGAATTGAATTATTTGTAAAAAGGTCAACATGAATGGATTTAGCAATATCTGAGTATGTCGTTAAATTCTTTGACTGTGGTGTCCACGTGACTAAATTTACCAAGCTGCGAGACTTCCAGCTGTTGGAAACAGCTCTGTTCTTTCTCATGTCATGGAGCACATTCTTACTGGCTGAGGCTTGTGGTTTCACAGGTAACACACACACAGATCCACACATTCTACGTGTATGGCATACTGTAATTACCAGAATATCAAAAACAAAAAATGAGATTAGTAATTTAGATAATAATAGTAATTGTGTCCAGCTGGAAGCTTTATGCATCAGAGCATATAGAAATCAGTGCGTATTGATCCCATCTTTATTCTGTGTGTCTCCGTCCCCCTTTGGTGTGCTGCAGGTGTGGTAGCAGTACTCTTCTGTGGAATCACTCAGGCCCATTACACCTACAACAATCTGTCTCCTGAGTCTCAGGACAGAACCAAACAGGTCACTACTTATTCAGTTCCTTTTTTTAGATGCTTTAAGTATTGCGTTTTCCTTGTTTTGTTTTGTTTTATGGTGAAGTAGGGCGATGGAGACTCAAAATTAAACAAAAACTGCAGATTGCTTTATCAGTTATCTGCTATTGTAGGTTTGTTGAACAGGTAAAGACACAAAAATCTAAACTTTTCTATGTGTTTATGACATAGCGAATAAAAAAGCGGCATTTTAAGGTTAATTACAATCACAGTCATGCAATCCAAGTTTAACAGCATTTATTGGAAACTCTAGCTTTTTCTTTTATTGTATACATCTATCTATACTTGGATATCAGCTGTCATGTAAAGCATGCTGTTTCTTTTCTTTTGCAGCTGTTTGAACTTTTAAATTTCCTGGCAGAGAACTTCATTTTCTCCTACATGGGATTGACCCTTTTCACGTTCCAAAACCATGTCTTCAATCCGATGTTCATCGTTGGAGCTTTTGTATCTTTTTACATGGCCCTGCCAAGTTCACATAAGCCATGTTAATCCTTGGCTTGAAGCATTATCTACAGCAGTGGGAGACAGATGGAAAGGTGACCTTGCAAGGAGTAGCGAGAGTGCAGGCAGATGAGTTTATATAGCATCACAGTGGACAAGACAGGTGAAGAAGAGAGTGTAGGCAGGGTGGAGTGGCTGGAGACTAGTGTCCAGGGTGATTTGAGACAGAAGGATAGACCGATCTCAGAGGAGATTAATGGATGAAGTGAAGGAGGACATGCAGAGGGTTGGTATAACAGAAGAAAATGCTAGGGATAGGGTAAGATTGAGGCAGATGATTCACTCCCTAAAGGGAACAACTAACCACCAAGTAGTAAATAGGCAGGAGACAGCACACCTCATTTGCTTTTGTCCTTAACCATGTTCTTACCCAGGTAGCATTATTCATAGGAAGAGCCGCTAACATTTACCCTCTCTCCTTCCTTCTTAATCTGGGACGACGCAACAAGATCAGATCCAACTTCCAGCACATGATGATGTTTGCAGGTTAGTGGTGTACGGATAAGGATGTTTATTATGTGCCGTCTTAAGCAAAGCGCTTTCCTTTATTAACAGAGTGAAATATAACCAACAGAGATGCTTATTATCTCATCTTGTATACAACATTCTCCATGCTCTGCTTTTTAGGCCTGCGAGGTGCAATGACCTTTGCACTGTCCATCAGGGACACTGCAACATATGCTCGTCAGATGATGTTTTCCACCACTCTGCTCGTGGTCTTCTTCACTGTATGGATTTGTGGGGGTGGTACCACTCAGATGCTGTCCTGCCAGCGCATACGGTATGCCTATCCTTCCTCTGCAAAGTCCAGACTGGATTTGCAGTTAGCATTTGTTTTAACAGTGGGGAAATTTCACAAATAAGTCTGATGTTTGTCTATAAATATTTTGACTTTATGATGCCTGTGTTTAACTCATCTAGTTATCCTGTCAGGCAAGTATTCCAAAGATTATTGAATGTCTTGAAGAATGTGCTGCTCTGTTTTGTCTTTTTTTAATAAGCAGATTTCCTGCTGGTGAACTTGTAAAACGGGGGAAACAGTGCTTCACAGCACTGTTCTGCTCTGACAGCTTACAACTGCAGCTGATTTACACGTGTTTCTTTTTCTTTAACAGTGTGGGAGTGGACTCGGATCAAGATAACTCTGTGAGTGTGGCACTTATAAACGTGTTGTAGTTATGTAATTGGTGGAAAGTAACTGTAAAGCAAACCAAGACACCTAAACAGTGTTGTCTGTCTTTGTCCAGATGAGTGTTGGTGAAGGTTCAGAGAGAAGGAGCACCAAACAAGAAAGTGCCTGGCTTTTCAGAATTTGGTACAACTTTGACCACAAGTATCCTTTGCTTAATTAGTGTTATTAATATCAAGAAATAATTTTCAAAGAAACCATACATGTAGTGTTTTGAATATGTGACAACTCATTAATGACTTCACTTCAACTTACCAGCAGCAGAGGGAGCCCCACTTACAGACTTAACTTCACATTAGGTCATCTTTTGGCTCTGAAATATGAAGGTCAGACTGTTCTATGCATTTAAAATAAATTACCTTATGAAATTACTTTAATTTGGAACATTTTCTTCTGAGGACTGGGATTCATTAAGCATTCATCACACCGTACCAGGAGCTTTCTTTTTGTGTCTAATAGCGGTCTTTTAGTGCTTATTTCACGCGCATTATGTCCTTGACTCGAGCCTCCCTCCAGCTACCTGAAGCCCATCCTGACTCACAGCGGCCCCCCTCTCACAGCCACGCTGCCTCCCTGCTGCGGCCCCCTCGCTCGCTTCCTCACCAGCCCTCAGGCCTTTGAGGTCAGACGCTGGTTTATACAAGAGCTATTTGTGACTGAACTGTGTTTTGCTTTTTTTAATCCCATATTACCAGATGGAAAACGGTCATGAATCAATGGTTCAGTTTTCATTTTCAATTTTCATTGTGTCATTGGATGGATAAGGAAACACAAAGCATGGGACAAAATTATAATTGTATTGGTTGAACACAATTTCATCCAATAGCTATGGAGTGCTAAAGTCACATCCTTGTTTCCCAAATTTGTTGTGTTTCTTTGAACAATTTGTGTTTCTTCTTCCTGCAGAACGAATGCCAGCTGAAGGATGACGACTCTGACCTCATCCTGAGAGACGGTGACATCAACCTGACATATGGCGACATCACAGTCAGTACAGACGCCAGTGGCGCCCACACTAGCGGCGGCCCGGCCTTTGCTGGCGCTGCCACCTCTGATGACTTGGACAGAGAGTTAGCATACGGAGATCACGAGCTGGTGATGAGAGGCACGCGCCTGGTGCTGCCCATGGACGACTCGGAGCCGCCCTTCACAGAGCCCCACCACCGCATGCGGATGTGAAAGTAGTCTTTGAATACAGACCCAGACAACCGTCCGACGCACCCTGACCCGAGCCATTGAGCAAAAGACCAGTACCTGAGTCTCCTCCTATCACCTCTCTCTGCTTTTTTTCCCTTTTCTCTAGCACTTTTGTTCCATCCTTCTTGCCACATTTTCTCACATATTCTATGGGGCAAATCATCGTCTCTACCTCATTGTCTTTCTGCTTATTTCCACACCTTTCTGCCATTGCTGTAATATAGTCATATTTATTTGCAGTTTTTTTCTTCATAAATCAGTTTTAAATAATTTCAGCTTAAATTTCTGTGTCACCTTACTGTAGCATTGCACAGAGATCTAGCAGCATGTGTCAGTGTGTAAATGCAACCACTAGCTAACTTGTCGGTGTAAAGTATATCCCAAGAGTACTATAACTTTTATATGCATGCTGAGGATGCTAGTTGTTTTCTTAGTTTGGGAGATTGAGGGCTTTTGTGTTGAATGTTGCTGCCTTCTCTCTGTGGGTCAGAGGCAAGCTGACCCAGTGGACAACGTTACTGTAAATTTGGTTACAATCAAGTGCCTGGGAATTGTAGTTTTTGGCAGCCCAGTACTGGATTAGTTCTGTTAAGCAGAGCTGATTCAATATGGTCAGTCATTCACTTTTCCATTGTTAAAAAAAAAAGATAAAAAAATGCTCAACATAAAGCAAAGACCTCTGTCCATAAGGTAGCAATATACTTAGTGCGTGTTTGGGCTGTCAGTCTGTGTGCTATTTGCTTGTAAATAGTGTGTAACAATGTGATGCCAGTGTTGCAGTGTAACCAGGCAGTGAACATGTGGATCTCTCCCAATGACCTTTGACTGTGACATAGAGGGAGACTTTACACCTTATTTTAGAGGCTGCTGTCGTTCATGGCAGGACGAAGGGCTGTTGTTTCGAGATCCAAATGAGATGAGGCGAGAACGCTTAGTGCCATTTCTGTCCTGCATTTTTACATTTTATGAAATCTGAATGCAGATGACCTTAAAGTGTTTTGTATTCTTTTTGCAACAGAGGTTTGTGAGCTGAATCACCTTTTTCATATCCATTTTCTAGTCTATATTTTCTCATTCAATGAACCTGAACAACACATCTAGATACATGAATCTGAGACTAAATTATCTGCTACAGTGGTATTAAGAGCGTTCAACTGATATTGTGCTTAATGAGAACTATCTATCTGCTTTTGGTAGGGCTGCAGACAGCAATTCATTCATCTGCCAGCAGTTGTTTAATAAATTATTTTGTGTAAAAAAAAAAAAAAAATGAGAGTAGTGAACAATGCGCATCAGAGTTGCACAGACCTTAAAGAGTGTTTCAGGAAAAAATATGATTTAGGTAAATTTTTTATTCATGAAGATCAATGTGATGTGAGTTGCCCATTTTTTTTGAATAATGAGCCGTAAAGATTAAAGATATCTGCCTTCTGTCAAATATAACCAAACACAATTCTAGTCTTGTGGTGTCCAAAACATCGAGAAACACAGAAATGCTCCTTTTACATCATTACTTGAAATTAAATCTACAAACTGTCTTTGAGCTGTTTAATTTAGGATCTATTTTAATTAAACTACATCCAGGCACGAGCCTCTAGTAACAGGTAAATGCTCTCCTCCTTTAGTTAAGTACATGAAACTGTCCACAATGCAGTTTTCTTTTTTAAAGCTGGTCATGATTTCCAGAAAGAGACGTGCTTCTGAGTTTTGAGCAGTTTAGTTTCATTATATAAGAGAGAAGGTGCACCTCTCTAAATCTGGGCTACTGACACCCCAAAAAGTCGAGGTGTCACTACAAGCCAGAAGAAAAACTATAATTATTTGATTTTTTTTTTTTTGGACAAATTACATCTTTCTACTTATTTCATTGTTTTGTTTTGTTTTTGTCTGATTATCTGATTAAAAATGTAACGCAAGTCTTCAGAATCTGTAGATAACATTACCTTTGTTCAACAGCATGACTTAGATCATTCATTTGGTATTAAAATGAATGCGGTACAATTATTTTATTTACTGGCAGAACAGTTAATCAATCAACCGTTGCAGCTGTGAATTTATCGATTGTGTTGTATGAAGTTATTTTCAAAAGACAAGCCCACAGGATTAATCAGTCCGTCCACATGTCAGCAGATATTTTCAGTGGCACTGTGGTAGTTTGTTATTATGCAGACTGCCAGAACAGAGCAACAATAGCTGTTTAAATGCTGGGTGTTTCTGTCTGCTGTACACAGTAGAGTTTTTGATGTGTAATGGTTGACCATGAACACAGAGGCACATAAAGAGAAACATGCAGTGTATCAAAGGTAGTCCTGGCCGGATGTGTTACATTTGACTTTGTAGCCTTGTGTCAGTGTTCGCTGTTGGGGCTATTTCAGTGCGTGGACAAGAAGAACGGAAGGTGTCGTCAGCTCCTTTGGGTGCGGAGTACAGCAGCTGTTAATGTGAGTTTAACAGGAAGTGTTGATAGCACATCACCGTGGCAACACTGTGTTGATGCAGACTGAAGCTAGACAACATTTGGTGACTTGAAGCAATCATGGCGTTTTTTCTTTTTCTTTTCTTTTTTTTTTCTCAAAGTTGTTGTTTTGGCCTCCTAGTGACCCAAAGAGAAAAAAATACTGTGTGTATGCAAAATGGATCTTTGAGGAGGATGATGTGGTTAAAGAGTGAGAAGAAGGGGTGACTGGGGGGCTTGTTAGGCTCTTGTTGTTGAGCGTTCATGTGTTGGGATGATACGGAGGTACAAGGAAGAGAAGGCATGCTAGATATCGCTTTTCCTTCCACAGTTATCTTCTGCTGTGCAGGAACTTCTTATTTCTTCTTTTTTTTATCAGTTATGTCTCTAAACTCCACATTTTCTAATATATGATTTGTTGATCTCACAGTTTTGTTTTGTTTTTTTATATGTGTAAGTGTGTTTCTGAATATTTTTTTCTGAAAAAGGGACACAGTGAAGAAAAATGAATGATTTGCACTCATTACAAATGTTGCGCTGTTTTATTCTGTTTATTTTTTTCTACTCTTGTTTTTATCTTAGTTACTTTTATATTACTTACACTGAAAGGTTGTGGGATTTGCAAATTCATGTCAGTGAATTCATCTTAAGTTGGTATATGTGCTACTTTATGAAGGAATTTTCCCACATTGCTCCATCTTATTGCTTCGCCATTCAGGTACTTTGTGTGTAAGTTGCTGCTTGAATGCCGTTGCCATGACTTGTGCACAGGCATGATTCATTTATCCTCTGCTGTTATGGACTCTTTGGCGTAGTGGGAACCAAAAGTGAAAAATTATACAAGGAATATTGTGATCCACTGTTCTTTGAGACATTAAAAGATGTGAAATCTGCAAAAAGTAAAAGAGGTTTTGGTGTTTTCCTACTGCTCTGCCAGTACGTGTTCTGTCTCTGCTCTCTGAATGGTGACCTGTGATATGCTTTGATCATTGGAAATCTTGTCTGAAGTAGCTGACCAAAGAAGCCTGCTGTGCTCCGTGTTCTCAGACAGTCCACTCTATCTTTATACCGCAAACTCTCTGTGTGTGAATGTGTCTGTGTGTGTGTGTGTGTGTCACTGCCTGCATGTGGATGAGGATTTGAATGTGTGGGTATATGTGCAAGAGAGAGACAGGAGAGAGACATTGTGATCTCTCCTGTCTGTGTTGCAGGTACTGACTGTTTACATCTGTGTAAATATACTCTCACCTGTTCATTTGCGTGCAACGGTCAATAAACAGAAGCCTGTGCTTTTGATTAAAGCCCTCACTGTAATGGCCTCCTCTTTTACTGTTCATTTATTTATTTTGGATGTCTGGGCTTTAAAAGAATGAAGCCGTGAACTCTTGAGATCATCCCATCCTGAGAAACATGAAATGAGTTTAGTGCCAGAAGTGATTTCATTTGAGTTGAATGAATCAGAGAAGGGATTTTCTTACAGTGTAATAATCGGTTTATAATATTAATTACGTTAGAAGTCTGACAGGTAGTCTGAGCTGGCATCCAATGTGATTTCAGATATTTTAGAGAGGAATAAAATTTGGCTTCAAGCTGACTTAATAATCCACATTTTAAAACATTATGTAGTTTGCATTCCCAACTCTAGAGTCAGGGTTGCAAGATGGTAGAAAAATATACATTGTTTTAGTTTTCTTGCCTCTGGACGTTATTAAAAAATAACTTAAGAGTACAGGAATCTACTGCTTACAGCTTGTAGACATACACAGCCTCTTACAAGGAGACAGCTCTATTTTAAGCAATTATAATTTAAAAGTTTGAAGAGCACATTAATTATTTCCTTAAACCCAAATCTGGGGTAGATTAAAGGGTTGGATTTTATACTGAGCCTTAGTTAAAAGCCTCCTTAACCTTTAATCCAGTGTGATACTATCCATCAAATTCTCTTCTGCTTATCCCATTCAGGGTTGTGGGGGTGCTGGAGCCTACCAAGGCCCAACCTGGAAGATGGTAGATTCATACCCAGGCAACAGTGAGGCGACAGAGCTAACCACCATGCCACCGCTGCCAGCGTGATATTAAGTTTCTGAGATGGGCTTTAAAATCCAGGTCACCTTCATGTTCTTGTTCAATGATCTCCATTTTTTTTTCCAGTTTGATCATATTTTTATATTCATTACATGTAACTGATGACCTGTATTGATTCATTAGTCTTAGGTAGGATAGAGCTAAAGGCAAAAAACAAAACAAAATACTAACAATTTTTTAAAGAAAAGTGGCGTGAGTGTAAAGTCTGGATCTTAACCTGCCAGGACTGATGGCGTTTAACTCTCCTGGGGCATGATTTGTGCCAGATATCAGGTAACGTGCTCCTAATATGGGAACAACTCCCTCCAGTGTGCTCAAGAATGTCTGTACCCTGGATTTACACTCCACAGAGGAAATGGTAATTTTACAGGACCACTTTGGTTCAGGCTTGACTTGAGAGCTGTTTACATTTCACACATTCCTCACATGAGTCGGCGTATTTGATTTTTGAAGACAAATAACTGCAAATTACTATTCTTTTATTTTATTAAAAAAAATCATAGTAAATTATATAACAATATCAGAGAAAGTTTGATGCTCTGCAGAAGACATTTTTTCTCCCTGTGCACCATTGAATTCATACATTTATGACAAGGTTTGCAAGGACCTGCACAACCTGAACACATGGCTCTGATCAATGTTGTAGCTCTTGTGTCACAACAGTTGCTGTGTGCTTACATTAATGTGACGTGTTTGCAGTTAGCGGCTTATTATTAAGTAGGCACGCATGCAGATGCATATGGCTGGAAATAAATAGATATAATGGGTTTTTTGGCGTCGGCAATGAGCTGAATGAATGAATCTGTATTTATGCCAGGTGTTTGACCAACCATGACAGCCTTTAAAACGACAAGTAGGACCTTCTGACCATTAAATCCTTCCGCCAAATCTTCGCCGACTTTACAAACAAATGGATCATCAGTCATCTTTTTCACAGGCCTGGTGTTTCTCCGTGGATGGATATGGATGAAGTTGAAGCGATGATGCATTGGCGGTTACGGCTATAAAAGGTGCCATCTGTGTTACTTAAGAGCAGCACCTTTTCAGCATTTAATCATCACTTTGTAATTGTGCTGGAAGAACCTTGGGGCTTAAGCTTGCAAGCTGCAAGTATTTACTTTGAGTTTTAGAATGAGTCATCTTGATGTTATTCGTCTATTCGTTACCAAAGAAGGAGGCAAGTGAGACCAGCACAGAAGTGGGACAAAAAGTGTGTGAAGTTAACAAGTCAGGCTATTTTTATTTATTTTTTATTTTTTTGTAGGATGAAAAAATGAAAATAAATGTAGCGAGCGTTAATAATTTCATACCACAGGTTTCCTGTAGCGCAGACCTGCCGTGACACTCACTAATGAATGTAAAAGTGTCAGTGCTCGTTGATGCAGATAAATGATAAACGATTCGTTTGTCTTGACTGCAGGACCGACGAGAACTTCGCTAAGAGGGCTTGTAAATTCCTGGCTGAGGTCATTGTTTATGAGCGCTTACAGAGGTTTGGCTGATGTCCTCAAGCTTTTTTTTTCTTCCTTTGCTCCCCCTGTCTTTAAAGCCTCGTCGCCTCAGCAGATTTCACCTCTCGGCCAAACCCACCGGACGCACTGCTGGCGTAGAGTGAAAGGCGCTCATCTTTACGCGTTGCAAAGGTGAGTCCAAACCGCAGCACATTATTAGGTAGCTGCTAAAGTTCGCTTTAGTTTATGTGAAACAAGGAGCGATTTATCACAAGGATGTTTGTGCCAAAAACTTACTTAAAATGCGTAATTGTTACTTTTCTTCCTTATCGGACGGACATTTCAGACATTTAAGTTAATGACGCAAAGGGTCCGTGTGGAAATATGTAACATGCTTGAATTACTCTGAAATCAGCTGCTTATTTCACGCACTATGACACGCAACAGGTGATGCGCTTTGTTTGGGGCGTCAGTCCGCATATATTTAAATGAAGAAGAAAATGTTCTTTTATGTATGCCGTGTGTTTATAGATATATGCTTATGCTTACTTTTATTAGCAAATTAACTAATTATAAGGTAATCTGTGAGGAACTCTTATATACTATATAATATCTGGATATAACTCATTTACACTAATAAGAATAGTTGCAAGAATATTGCTTTGGATTGGAAATCTAGTAGCAGTTTGTACTGACATATATGTGCTACAGATTAATTTTTGTTTGTATAATGAAGAGCAAAACCCAAAGGTATGATGTGTGGCCATAAACTGTTACAACATAAACCAGCTTACCATCTCCTCCCTTCCTGTTTGGGCAGCTGCCAAACCAAATGCATGATGTCATTAAAGAGACCTGGAGATTACAGCTTTTT